TTTAAGTTAAACTATACAAGCAAGTTGAAATTTAGAGAAATAATTGGAAACGTAATTATACGTTCCAGCTCAACTTTGGAAACAAACAATGAATAAAAATGTTCTGGCACGTCGTAATGTGTCCTTGCGCAAGTATAATATGAAATTATGATATAAAACAGAAGTATTGAAAATTCATAAAATCGGCAGAAACTCTCAGTCAGATTTCCGTTAATAAAGTCGCAAAGGTAACTTAGAGTTAGGCAAAAGGAATTTTCATAGAATATAATCAGTAACTTTGAGCACAATACAGTATTAAAACAATGCACTATTTAGACAGATGTTTAGTGTTGTGCTCACTGAAGGATATTCATTAATAGGTACATAATGAACATTTGCTGATAGAAGTCAAACTCGTGACCGAAATCTTAGAAATTCAGTAGTTCGACGAAAGTTTCACATTCTGCTCAAGGAGAGCTTCTCCTGGTATGTCATACAGTGGCTTGGATGTAACAGTGATCGAGATGACCACATTGTAATTATGCAGATTCAAACTCGCGTCGAAACGGCCCATTCTGTTAGTGCTTTGGTGGGCAGGAAGCCAACACATAAAGACCAACACTTGAATTGCCACTCTAACCATTCCATAACAACAGAAACAGAAATGGTAAACACTTTCTTAGAAGAAAGTATGCTAAAACGTTTGAATACCAATATGATGTGCTAAAACGCAACGAATATCCTAAGAATTTCACCCAATGATCAGGAAAGACGATACCCAATGAAAGGTAGATTTACCTACAGTGACATTGATCTGCATTCCATATGTCAGCGATATGTTTGAGCTTCCAATAATAAGACTCAAACACGTGAATATTCAAGTGGGATTTTGGATAGTAAGACAAACGAAATCGCTCTTACCAATATCCATAATCTAATTCTTATCAGAGGCTGATCTAAAGCAATATTCCGAAGCAGTCCTATGTCTTCATACCGGCTTAACAGTCAGAACACCTTGGTGAGAGCGTCGCAGCATACTGACGCCAACAAGCATATGGTGAAGGTCGAAGAAAAACTGAACAGAGTTAAGTCTTAAGATATCACTTCATTCTCGTTCGACAGTCACACGTATGATTTTCAAGATACTGTTCTTTCTCCGATTCGAATTACATTCGCGAATGAGTGCTAAAAGTGGTTTTGTTGATTCAGTCCTCTAACAATACCATTAACGGGCACTGAAGACTCGAACTCTCGAAAATCTGAGCAAGGAACCGCTTGAAATGAATTTATTCAAGGTGCGTCAGGAGGACAGTTATTATCCAGCGAGTGAAAACTTCTGATCAAGCTTAGCAAGATTCAGAAATCGTCGCGGTTCCTGAGTTATAACTTATTATGAGTTTAGGGACTTAACCGAATTTGAGCACTTGAGCCACCTAGCTTAAAACCACTGAACTTGCTTCACCATAAAAATCAGAGTACAGGATACACCAGACCTATATTTGCTATGAAAGAGGTGCTGCTCTGCTGACGCATAAAATAACTTTCAACGGATGTCGCTTTTCGTTGTCTTCTGCTGTAAGGCGATCTTACCGTCGTGCCGTTTATTTTTTGCGACAAACAACGAAGTTTCAACGGGTAGGCAAAATATCATTGCCTAACTGGCATTCCACCCCATTCCATTAGCTGCAACACTCCCTTTGATGTATTTGTTGAGGATTTGAATGCAGACTTATTAACGCTTAAATAGCACCCGGCGAGTCTGTAGAAATATCACATGGCTCAGTGATAAGACGTTGTTTTCGATTAGTAAATAAGTAAATTTTTGACGTCAGTCATTACTTAACCGTATACTTATAAAACAAGCTTCTTCACTACATTTAAAAAAATACATTCTTGCATCAGGGCATTTTCTGATTAGTACAGATTTAAGCCCTCTAAAACAGTTATTATAGCGCATTTGAGCAGGCAACTTCTCTGTTTCTACGTGTTAAATCATGCTAAATACATCCCTGCACTACAGGAGTTCCAATATTCAGCTGTCGTTGTTTCTTGAAGATGCTGGAACATCATAAGCGTATGAAACAAAAGGGCGGTATGATGTACTAAAAAATTTATGTTTTGAGAAATTGACCGGTATCTGAATTCATCATGGTATAAAGGTACGGACCCATGTTTTCGATTTCCAAATTTTAGTGCAATATTCAGCTACTGGTCACCTGCACGAGAGATATGCAAAAGCAAACCGTCTCTTCTTCGTTTTCCTAACATGTTCCCTTTAACAGGGGTCTGCTAATCGAGTCAACCTCCTCCGCATTTTTCTGTCCTTTGTTACATCTTCAGAAATACCTCATCTTTTTCTTGACGACATTACGCTACCTTTTCTTCGGTCTTCCCCCTTTTTTTTCTTCAGAGGAAGTATGAGTGCTTGGACCACAATTCCAACGTTCTCGGTGGATCTAACTTTTTGCCAATCCAGCGGAGCCTGCTTTCGAGAAACTTTTCTGAGGCTGGTGCTACGCATAGAGTGCTTCTTATGAAAACTTCCTGTTTAGGATGTCGTCCTTACTGCTGAAACCACGTATCCATCTGAGCATTTACATTTCTACCGAGTTTAGCTGTTGCTCCTGTCTCTTCAGGGTAGCGAAACGTTCCGTTCTGTACAGAAGCACCGGGCTTACTCTCGTTCTGTACACATTTCCCTTCCATTTGATGGACGTCTTCTTGTCGCACAGTACTCCGCTCACTTCTTTCCATTAAAGGCAAGCTTTTTCGACGGATATCTTACCTCGTTGTCGATTTCCGCGTTATCTTGCAAGATAGAACCAAGGTAGTTGAATTCTTGAGTTTGAAGCAGCAAGTTCCCTACAATTTTCACTGTTTGAAGGATTTCAACCTGTTTTCCCTACTGAAATAACCCGCCATATGATCTGACTTGCCTTTGCTGAGACAAAAGCCGTTTTTTTGAAACAGCTATTCTAGATGACTTAGTTTTCGATTCTATAGCTTCTCTACTTTCTCTACACAGCAAATATCATATGCATTGAGCATTAGGTATGACGCTGCTTCTTGCTGACAGTCAGTTATGGCGTCTGCCGCCATCGAGAACAGAAATGGGCTCACTGCGTATCCTTGATCGACTCTTACCCGCACGGAGAACTCTGCCGTTTCGCCACATGTACTTCGGACTGCCGTAGCCACTCTGTGGTGCATGTCTTTGGAAAGCCTGACACATTTTTCTGGAACAAGGTTCTTTCTCATTTTGCACCAGATTCATTACCTCAAGATTCGGTCAAATGCTCTTTTCAGATTTAGGAACTTAATGTGAATATCTTGTCTGCTTTCCCTGCATGTTTCGAGGATTGGTCTTAAAGCGAAAATATCTTCCGTGGCTGATCCTCCTGGCATAAAGCCAAATTGGTTTGCGGTGATGTTGACCTCCTTCTTCAATCTTTTTTTTCACCCTCTCTCATTGCTTTATGATATGACTGAGCAGCTTCATTCCCCGTTAATTTTCACAGGCGAGCACATCTCCTTTTATTTTATACATTGGCATCAAAATACTCTACCTCCATGATTCTGGCATTTTCTCACATTCCATCATTTTGTTGAATTGTGGGCAGAGCCAAGCCACGCCTTCTTGCCCAAGTGATTTCTAAGCTTCTTCAGGAAATCCGTCTGGAGCAAGGGCCTTTTTATCTTCCATTCGGGTCAAGGTCATTGTTCCACTTTCTTCACTGAGATCTTTTCGATTAGACCCCGGTTTTGTGGGATCTCTTTCGTGACCTCTTTGGGATATTCTTCGTTTAGTAGCGTTAGGAAGTGCCTTGTCATCGGTTGCGTATATCTTTTTCATCGGTCAGTACCATTCCGCTTTCGTCGTTAATGGACTCAACCTTACTGACTTCTCTTGTTCTATTTTCTCTTGGCTGTGCTATGCGATGATGTCTTTCTCCTTTTTGTTGCCAGTTTCTTGTATAAGCTCTTGCACACTGTAGACTTTGCTTAAGCGGCGACTTTGCTTGCATCCCTTTCTGATATGGCATATTTTACTCTGTCTTCCACGGTGTTTGATAGTTGCCATTTCTTGAACAGCTCTTTCATCTGTCGTAGGGTCGCTAGAATGTTCGCATTCCCCCAGCGCGCCTCTTCCTGGTTGTGTCGTGCCTTCTGTTTCCTTAACTAAGCCTCTGGCCTTCCCTGTGATCATGCCGGCCATCCGCTCCCATACTTCGACCACCTTCCTATTCCAGTTTTCGTCATTTTTCTCGTAAGTTCAATTTTGAACGCTTCCTTCAGTTTCCCTTCGAGCATCCACCACTGTATCCTCGGGGATGTTGTCATGTCCACCGCCTGAATGGGCTGTTTCAGAGAGAGGTCTAGGACCAGTAGCCGGTGCTGGCTTGTGACAATTTCCCAGGAGATAACCTTGCCATCCCTGACGCTCTTAAATCTGTCTCCTTCTTAGTAGAAAGTAGAGAATCTAACTTTTCTTCTGCCCGCTTTTGCAGGTAAGTGGTGGCTTTCTCTTTTCTGGAAGACCTATTTTTCAGAGTCAAATCAAATGTTACTGTCACCAGCAAGATGTTTTCTTTCTATATATAACATACCATGTCCATTTCCGCCATGGATCATGTCGTAACCCGTTCGATGTTTCCCTACGTTTCCATTAAGGTCACTCCCAATTATTTCTTTTTTGTTTC